TTGAAAAGACATATAAAAAACAGCACAGCCATTTTTAATTCTAAAGTTCCCCAAGGGTTTTCCCCCAATAAATCACCGCATTCTTTATCCTCTGGCCACTGTATGACCTACATCTAAGTGCTGAAACAGTTACTTGTCACATCCATAACCTTCCATTAGCTATGGGCCAATACTGGCTTGTGCATTTTACCATGCAGTCCTAAATAGAGTTACACCATTCTATCTCCACTGATGTCATTGGGCTTAGAAGGATATAACTTGCTTTGGGGCAGCAATGTCAGATGCGCATGAAATTCACTTGTGTACCTGCACATTATTGTTTTCTTATTGGGTGAGTACTTCCACTTGATCAGAATCTGATATGATTGATTGATATGAGTATTATTGCACCTAATGAAATGCATCCCAGAAGACAGCGTCAGTTAACATACTCTGTATACTCTCTTGCTGATGGGGGACAGTGACCTCACTAATAATGTCTTGCTTATTGTTCTCCCGCTGTCTCCTGAGCAAGGAAATATTGACTATTTAACAATATTTTGATCTGTTAGTATCTGAACTAATCTTTGTGCATTTTGGCTTCTGTTCAGATTGGACCTGTCTTCGCATGCTTTTAGCCAGATGATCACTTGCATAAAATGATAACTTTTCTGTTGATAGCTGCACTTAATCAATCTCCAGAGCTTTTGTAAAAACCATGACTTTGGTTTCTGTCAGCATTATTGTTTGTGTGTTTAGATGCCTGCATTGTGATGCTGCACATCTTTGCCTTCAAAATAACAAGAAACTCGAATTCCAGGTGTTTTGTGGTCTTAATGGTGGCACAAATTATAATGTGCATTGCCCTCATTGTCCACAAATATAATGCCTAGTCAGTTTCATGTTCTGCACATACAAAATGAGCAGGCTGAGGCTTGGTAAAGGAGCATACTCATAGGCATACCCATCAGATATGAAAGCAAATTGTCAAGGTTCCATCATGCATCAGAAGGTGATAAAGTTTCTTCAGCCATAATATGTGGAAACGTCTGATTGCCATTGCACAGATACTACCTACCAGAGCTACTTTCAAGACTTTCTGTAACCTGAATAGTATATTAATGTACTTCCCAGTCCAGTAAAGGACACATGCTTGTGCATATATCTGAATAAGCACACTGAATGAGCACAAAGTGCCTCCATGATTAGTGATGTAACTATGGGCCTCTGTGTCTCTCCGGCATGTTCATCATTAAATAAACATTAAAAATAATATCTGTCTGTAATTTTTGAAAGATCTTTTTTGTTGGTATGAGACATTATGTCTTTGTCTTGCACCTGGAAGCAATCACAGTTTAGGGAGCACATGAATAATATATTAAGGTGATTCCCCCCCTCCCCAAAATATCTATGAATAGAACAAAATGCCTAAGAGTTGTGAGCTGGCACCCATTAATTCAGCACATTTAAAAACCCCAATCAAAATGTAATCCCAGTTTTTGGATACAAGGAATTTGCGCAAAATCACTAACCATGTGATGAGTTTCTAGGACTGAGCATCCTTGACTGAAAGATAAGTATCGATTGACTGACACATCAGCAAGCTTGTGATTTAAAAGGTGTATTTTAAATGAGTTCTTAATACACTTATGATGAGAGCCAGCTGGTGTAACACAATGCCATATGATAATTTTATTTTTATTCAAACACTTAAGATGTACAATTCCTAGCAATTTTAAAGGTAGTCATTGGGAAAATATAGGTTTTTTTTAATATGGGGGGAAAGGAAATTCAGGGAGTTGTTGAAATATATGCAGTACTTCCTTTTTTGTCAATCCTTAACTTATGTAAGTACTTAAACAACACAGAGTGCCTCATTTATAGTTTAGAATGTAAAATTGTACTATTTGGCATATTTATGAAATTTAAAAGTATTAATTTTTTACAAGCAAAACTGAAGATATACCCAATGAGAACTGCCCATGGTTGCTGTCTTAAGCACATGCATCTTAGTTTTTTGCCATTTGAGAGGGAAAAAATAAAAGCACAAATTTGGTACTGAAGAGAAGACTGCTGTTTGACTAAAGTGGACTATGTGGATAGTGATTAAAAACACTGAACTGTTCAGTGGTGTATTATCATTACAACATTGTACTATATTAATTATGGGTAAGATTATTCATATTTGAACAGATATATCCTTTAAAATCTTGTATAAGTGTGATGAATTATCGAATTTGCCCCCAGTTAAGGGATCTGTACTGTTCAGCTCTAGGAGAATTTTCTCTTTAGCTAAGCTCCACTGCAAAATCTCCAGTTGGGTCTGTTTAAGACAGACTCTGAGAGAAACTTGTTTCTTGCAGCACAATGAAATATTATAGGTCAGACATCTGATCTTTTGCCAGCAAAGCAAGCAAAATTTCTCTGAGTTAATTATTTTATTTAAAATAAAGCATAACTCTTATTACTAGGCAAGAACTTATAAACAGGTATTAATTAATGTCTGCATTACACATGGGAATTATAGATACCTAAAGTTGTAGATTGTTTCGCTGCCAGAACAAGGTGCAGATCCCTTAGCAATATATAATGCAAGCTGTGCTGAAAATCCTATAAACAATGGAATCCATAACTACACCTGAATTATGGGTATTTTCCCCCTAGAAAACATATTTATTTTTACTTAACTATGCCTATACAGAAGCAGTCTCTGGTCCGAAGAAGCTTATGCCATAAAACATTTGTTAGTCTGAGATACCAACATCTTTAAAAATGAAAGTTACTCTATACTGTATTATACTGATGTCTGAAAATCCTTCTGTCCATTTCTTGTCAAAACTGCATGATTGTTAATCCAGATTCTTTATTGCTGTTTAAATGGTATGTACTGAACCTGGGCTTGAAGATGGGGTCTTCATGGCAAAGTATTAGTGTTGTTTCATGTTTTAAAAATTACTGCTATGCTTAGAGTCCAAGAGTTCAAGAAGTCAAGGACATTAGACATCCGTTTACTAGAATGCTGTCTAAACTCTTCTACAGCTTGGGCTGAAGTAAACTGTGTGTGTGAGAGAGACTATATTTTAAGAAATAGCAGTGCTCTTGTCTCTAACCAGTAGTGGTGCTGCATTGAAATTACTGCCTTAGGGTGGACCATCTTTAGCCTGGTGTCCCATAACTTGATTGAAGGCTGGTGCAGTATCATGGCTGTACACGTTAGGACTTCACCACTGATTTTAATAAAGGGATATTTTAAATGTAGCACAGTTATACATAAAAATGGGGAAACTCTTTGCCATGTCAGTACCTACTCCTGTTTCTCTTTGGTCATATGTAAGCAAACTGATGAAAGATTGATACAGACCAGCCTGATGCAATGACTATTAGGCCTTGTAATCTTGGGATGGGACAGGGAAGGGAAGAAAGTTTTTCACCTCCTCTGGTCAGTGATGTTCTCAGCCTTGGGTTAACGATGGGTCCATCATTGAGCATCCACTCTTCACCAGCATCGGAGAGGGTATTTGGGGTCTCTCTTGTTCTGTAAGCTTAGGTCTGATGAAGGACCACTACATCTGATAGGAAAATGGTAATATCTCTTTAAATGTTACTTAGATAATATGTGAAGTTGTCCATAAAAGTCAATTGTTAAAAATAAAGCTTGCTTAGGACTAAAACCCATTGCATTGGGTGGGGTTTACTTTCAAGTAAGTTAGGTCAGGTTTGGAAAGTCTTTTTTGGGAAATGGCAAGCGAGTTTCATTCAGTTTCTTTAACCTCAAGGTCATCTTGTAGTGATGTATTGTGTATAGGCTTGCCTTTGGCAGTGGTTCAGAGGCCATAGTTCATGGAGAAGATTTCAGTCTGCTTCCTGATAAGAGGTAGGCCACCAATGCTGCGGGGTTTTCAGTAATTCTGTAAGGCTGAAAGCAAATCCAATATAATGGATTTAATATTCAAAGTTTTAAACAGTTTTGATCATATATACCTAACAAAAGTATTGCCTCCTATAGTGTTCTCCAAGATCAGTTAAAAGGGCAGTTCAGAGTTACCCTCTCTTAAACCTGTCAATTGCAGTGGGCTTAGACAGAAGTAACTCCATTGAATTGCACTGTTGAAGACCTTTGGAGCAGTGGAAGAATAATAATGAGATCCTGGACCATGTTGTGTCTCTTTGGGGAATTTGGTTATTATCTGCTTTAGATTTGAATGTTCTTGTCCTCTGATGCTTATGCAAAAGGGACTGAAATACTGTGGCATGTTTGGGGAGTTTTTGGAAGAATTTTAGCAAGCTCTGAAGAGCCCTGTAAGCCACCACATCTTCCCGAACGATGCTGCTTCCACATAGAAATGGGTGCACAGGTTTAATAGACTACAGAGAAAAATAGCCAAAATTTGAACCTCCACAGTAGATACTAGCCAGGTAACAAACTACTTTCTGTTAATTGTGTTAGCCTGGCATATTTTATAAAGTTATGCATATGTCCACCCAAGGCTCCTGGCTAGTTAGTATCACTGTATCAAAACCAGACAGCTATGTATGAATACAGTTGGGCATGTGCCAGAGGCAAGGTCTTCTGACTAACCTAGATGCATCCATATTGGATATTTACCTTTGGTTAAGATTTGCCCCATATTGTATTATGTTTTGCATCTCACCCTAGACATGGCTGCTGCTGCTGGGCTGCCATTGTACAGCATTTGTGTCACCTTCTCTTGCTTCTGCCAGAAGTACCTTGCAGGTGGCTATGTAAAAAAAAAATATTCAGGATATACTGGGACTAGAATCTAGTCTCCTGTTAGCAAATACGAATGTCCAGTTCATTGCTATATATTCTTGTGGTGGTGGTGATTATGGCTGTTGCACCTGTCCCTCTTGCTGTTGTGCACACTTTCCTCATCTTGACTCAAATGCCATCCTCTTCCTCCTCTTCCCCTCCCGCCCCTTTCTTCATTAATGTGCTTTCTAAAAATTGGGATTGATTGGAATGCTTATATAACTTTTTCTGTTCACTTCTTATTTTTCAGGCTATATGGAAAAACTCCTTAAGACTTGAAAATGTTACAAGTGACATGATAATTTAGCCAGTTCCTCTGAATGATGGATTACCAGAAGATTGGAAATGGTTTGCAAGTGGCTGGTATAGGGGCACCTGCACTCCACATGGTGGGGTATTTGGGAAAAGTCAGTTCAGTTCTCTTTCACATTGTGCAAAGTTCTTTTTTTCCCCTCCTCAATGTTGGGAGATTTTTTCTTTCTATCAGTGTACTTTTATTATTTGGCCTTTATTTTTAAAAAATTGTAAAATTATTTTTCCACGGAAATCTATTAAAATGGCGAAAGATTTACTGTTTATGGAGGTGTTTTATCTAATGCTGGGTATATTGTAGAGTTCAGGATGATAGTAAAGCTTGGTTTTTTGGTGGAAATTAAATGAACACTCAGTCAACATAAAAACCAAATTACTATATCGTTTGCTCAAATATCTTTCCTCTGTAGTTTGTTTTGTTTTTATGCTGTCTAGTTTAACTCTGAGATGCATAAATGACTTACATGATATGAAAGTCATTGTGCAAGGTTTTGTTTGACCTCTCCACAATAAAACATTTAATGTATATTTTACATCATTTTAGGACTCAAAGTCTGCTGAAATAATCCCAGGTGGACACTGCCCCCTTTGCAAAAAGAAAGGTCTGATGCAGGTTTTACAAACATATCGCATCAATTTTCAAGAGTCTGTTCTCTTTTGTGAAAATCCTCAGGTATGTTGGCATGGCTTGGGTAGCTCAATTCTATCTGAAGGTTTTCGCCTGAATATTTTAGATGTGGACATACTAATACCAAATCTGAGAACATAGGTCCTTACGTTAAATAATTCTTTGACAACTCCTTTCTGCTGGACTGATTTACACACCTGCTGTTTGAGTCCACTTCTGTTTACAGATGCACATTCATTCAGAGAGTTTCACTTGCACACTTACAGATAAACCATCTGTTCACACAAGCACACTACTTAGCCAACTATCTAGTTTTGAGATAGTTTGTGCAGCTTGTTCTGTTTACAATGGTGATGGTTATAAAAAAGTTAACGTTCTATTTTCAGCTGTTGATTGATGATAATTTTAAAGTATACTGCCTTGGGAAACTAAGTGTGGTTGAATGGATGAGAGTGCAGGACATAAATGTTTACATTAAATAAGTTCCTCATCTGTTTGTGAATGCGTACGCACTGGTGCTAGACTCCTGTCTGCTAGTGCCTTTGTGTCATGTGACTGAAAAGAGGCCTGCAAGACCCTGAAAGAAGAGGGGAAGCCGTTTTCTGGAATGTCAGTGCTTCAGAATCCTAAAAATGGGAAAATAGGCTTGTCAGATCCTAACTTTTTCTTACCTTTTATCCTACCAACCTGTGAAAAAAGGAGAAGGGAGGGCCTCTGCAGTTCCTAGCCACAGCACTCGTATGGGCTTGGGGAGATGAGCCTGTGTACAAACTTGCAATACCTATGAGAGAAAAGCTAGGTTAATCCATGGAAAGGAACAGACTGTGAGACCCTAAGTAGCATAGCCTATTGACTGTTTAATCCAGTTCTGGTAGATGAAGCTAGGAATTTCTTTTCGTATTTCTCAAGCACAAAAATGAAAGGATAAACATTTACGAGCCTAGCAATGCTCAGAAAAATAGCGTTTAGATGATAACTTAATATCCTCCACCTCCAAAAACTAGAGGCAAGAAAAAAGCCATACATTCTTGAGTAGAGATCATCATCCTCCATAGTAGCAGCTTTGGCTCTATAGGGGGGTTGGATATCAGATAATCGATATATGGTGTGATTGACTAGTATCAACTTGTTTCCTGACTTCTCAGTGTAAAAAAAATACCTCTGAGATCATTAAAAAACCTATAAAGATTGTTTGTTTTTAATTGGATGCTTAATTCTTATAGCTGTGAATTCTGTATATAATTGGTCATTCATATAGCTCATTAATTGCTGTTCTAATATCTTGCATTTAGATACTCTCTCTCTTTTTCTTGCAGTGCATCTACCCTCTGGGATTTGGATCGCTAAGTAACATTATAGTTCCTATTGATCCAAAAGATTATTCATCTCAGGTCACTTGCAGGAAAAGAAAGTTCTTTGAAACAAGCTTGGTAACCACTCCTAAATCTGCCTCAAAACCTGATCTTGCTCCCAGGTATAATGGAGAGAATCTGTTTGGAACTCATTCAAGACAACCTGATTTTTCATCAGCCACTCAGCCTAATTTTAATAATGCAACGGAATCTGCACAGCAGGAAATGGAAGCGCAAGAACATTCACCAGATACATTAATTGTGCAGAAACAGGTGTTATCAAATTCTGAACCTTGTTCATCGGTGTCTAAAATTTTGCATCAAGGCAACACGTTCCTGTCAGAGCCCAGGTGGCTTCAGTGGAGGAATGTACATGCTCTCTGCTGGTTAGATTGCATTCTGTCAGTACTAGTGCATTTAGAAACACTGAAAATAATTTTGACAAGATCTGTCTCAGAAAATTTATCAGTAATCCACAGACTGCTCGCAGTGTACAACCAAGCAACTGCACTTGTGAATAATTGCCAAAGAGGTAACCCAGACACAGTTTTTTTCCCCTTTTGCTATATAAAGTAATTTTGTGTTCACATGAAACCATTTAGATGCACAGAAATCTAAGCCTCTAAAATACAAATAATTTATATTATTCATAATACTGTTGATCCTGGCTCTGCATTCTCATTCTCTTCCCCTCCCTCAACAACGAATTTATGTGTTTGGGTACATATGCTGTCATTTCAAGGCTAGAACACAGTTCAACTATCAATTTTGCAAGCTATCAATCTGATCAGCTGTCAATTTAGGACTGTAAAACACCCTTTGCAAAAAACACAACAACCCCAAAACCAACCCTCTATTGCTTGCTAGTTAACAATTTTCACCGAAGTTCTCATTTCCACTTTCATAAGCTCCTTGTACCCAAACAAGAGCTTGATGACTTGATAGTTCCTTAGCTTCTGATGATGTTACTTTACCCATGGTTGGCATGTAAGCAGCAGTTATATGAAGGCTAAATCAGCCTCCCCTACCTGTGCAGTGCAGCAATATCACTGAACTAGTTCAGTTACTTGCATGGAGTTTGATGCACAAAAGCAGTGGGTTTCAAGGGTTGTACCTTCAGGGAACATTTTTTACATTGGTTTGTCTGTTAAGGAACCCTTAGACATTTGCCACAGTACTCCCAGCACATTAGGTTGGATCTGGAAGAACGTTCCAGAACACGTGCATGGTTCAGGTGGAGTGTTAACCAGACATTGCTGTTGTCCCCAGGAAAGTGCACCCTAAAATATACTCAGCACTTCCCTCTGGCTGAATGTTGCAAGGAAAGATGAGTGGTGATGGTATGCTGTTTTTTCAGGAACATATGTCTGGACTTGCCAATATTACTAGGGGAACCCCAAGATTCTCCAGAGAACAGTTTGAAAGTCACTGTAGGAGAACAAGACCTCAGGATTGGCTGTGGCCAAAGGCACTAGCTAATTGAATGGTTTGTGCAGCTAAACTTTGGTTAGGTGATTTGAAGGTGGGTGATATCTGCAATATGCTTGTTTGCATGACTGTACACTGCAAAATGAGTGCTACAAGTTCATTTCAGTAGTATACAGGGATTAATGGTACAAGTTAGAAAAAGGCCAGTCTTGGAGAGCCTTGTGTTGATTGATCAGAATTACTTCACACAGGTGAACTCATTTCAGAGGCTCCTGGAGATGTTCTGTCAAGAGCTGAATCGCACCTTAATGAAATCAGAAATACAGTTTTTGAACAACTTCAGCCTCGACTTAAATGTACATTGGGTAAGTAACTTCAGGGGCAATCAGTCTTAATTTTGGGCTTTATAAGCTGTTGCCATTAGGATTGTCAGTTCTCCTGCTATGTGAGAGACCTCCTACTTCCAGGGCAAGGGGAAAGGCAGCATTTTCAGGACACCGCAGCATCTCTTCCAGTTACATAACTGGAAGTGACATATCGTGAAGCTCCAGGAATTTTTACCATAGAAATTCTGAGAAATTCCTAGGGTATTGCCCCTTTTAGGCAGTAACCAGAAGTGATGTTGTGGCATCAGATGCTGCATAACATAAGAGAAGCCAATGTTGGATCAGGCCAGTGGCCCATCCAGTCCAACACTGTCACACAGTGGCCGGAAATACCAGGTGCCATCAGGAGGTCCACCACTGGGACCAGGACACTTGAAGCCCTCCCACTGTTGCCCCCCCCCAAAGCACCAAGAATATTATATTTATTATTTTCAGTTTGTATCCTGCCTTGCCGGTGCAGACTGGCTCAATACAGAGCATCACTTACCCCAGACCGAGAGTTCCTACATATACCTTGTGGTTAATATTTATTTATTTATTTATTTATTTTATTCGATTTATACCCCGCCCTCCCCGCAATGCGGGCTCAGGGCGGCTTACAATAGTGGCAACGCCAATATAAAACCAGTTAAAACCCCAACAATATAAAATCAGTTAAAACCTCTGCTCCATATAGCCACTGATGGACCTCTGCTCCATATGTTTATCCAGTGTCACTGTGTTCTGCCCCCCTTAGCTCACAGGACAGAACGCTGGCCTGAGGAGATAGCATGAAACTATCTGAGATGTATCCCCTTATGGCTTATCGGCTGCTTTTCTGGAGAGCCACTCTGACCTCAGGAGAGGTCTTCTTGGAGGACTGTCACATCAAGAGGGAGTGCCCCTGTTTATGAGCACAGAATCAGCGTTAATTTGGATCAGTGCTGCTGTTCCCTGCTATTAGGCAAGGAAGCAGAATATAATTCTAGTGGAAGTGCAGGGCCTTAATGAAATCCACAGGTCAAATGTACTGTCTTCAAAAGCAATTCTCATCTCTGTTCTTATCCCTGGTACTATGCAAATTATTCATACAATTCTGGGATCCTTGTGAGCCAGGTTTATGAGGGCATTTGCACAATAGGGATAAGAGGATGGGTTCTCTTATGGATTAAAAACTGGCTAAATGACAGGAAGGAAAGAGTAGGAATCAATTAACAGTTTTCACAATGGAGGGAAGTAAGTAATGGGGTCCCACAACAATCGGTATTGGGGCTGTGCTATTTATTCATAAATGATCTGGACCTTGAGGTGAGTAGTGTAGTGGCCAGGTTCGCAGATGAGACAGAATTATTCAGGATAGTGAAAACCAAGGCTGGTTGTGAAGAGGGCCTCCACAAACTGGGTGAGTGGGCAACAATGTGGAAAATGAAGTTCCACGTTGGTAAGTGCAAGGTGATGCACACTGGGGCAAAAAAATTCCAACTTCTAGTATAGGTTAATGGGGTCTGAACTTGCTGAGACTGAGAGGGGAAAAGATCTTGGGGTCATAGTGGATAGCTCAATGAAAGTGCCAACCCAGTGTGCTGCAACAGTAAAAAAGGAGTTCAAGAATGCTTTGAAGCCAAAGATTCTATTAAATCCTAGCCTATGAAAGGGAACTTTTAGTGAGGCACTTTCTACTTGGCTGAAAAGTTCCTTCATTCACTGTGCATAGTAGAGTTTGAGACTATGAGTCTTGGGGTGTGGCAGGAGACCCTGATTGACAGGAGGAAGTATCTGACCACTCCGAGAGTGTGGGAGCGGTGGGAGGGATGGGTCAGGTAGATGACTTTGGACAGAATAAGGAAAACAATGTAGAGCTGGTGATCAAGCTGCCTTCCTCAGCCATGGATATAGTCACAGAGGGGTGTGGTGGAGAGTTCCAGGAAGAGGGCCATTGGGGGGGGCTCTGGAATAGAGGGTGGGGGGCCTCTATTCAGTTATAAGTCACATTACCAGCGCTCTCTGCTGGTTAGATTGTACATTTAGGTACTATGTAATTGCATTTCCAAATATGTGATAGTACACTAATCCGCCTTTTTTCAGTCTTCTTTTTTCAGACTGGTACATTTCCTTTTTCTCTAGTTCCCTTTAAAAATATTTATGAGTCTAGAGAGAACCATTCCTCGAGAGTTATGTGCCAAAACAGTACAGCGCTTTCTTGCTGTTTCTCTTTGGTGTGTCCATTAGCTGGAAAGCACTTTTCATTGTTATTAGCTTCAGTTAAGATTCTGGTTACAGTGATCTAATGCACTGAGCATTTTTAGCTGGGTTTTTTGTGCAATTGATTACTTAAAGAGCACACACTCCCCCTCTATCTACTATATATCAGGAGCATGAGGCTTTGAATAATCCTGCCGTCAGTTCATCATTCATAAACTCTACCTTGCAGTGTGGCAGTGTATTAGTAAATAACACTTGGTTTTAGGTTGACTTTGACAGAGTAACATTGTATAATATTACCTTATGTAGGATGCTTGTATTGCTGTACTTTTCCCTTCATAGGTAAGGAGGAAACCCCAGTATTTGCGTTCCCACTACTTTTACAGAATGATCCTCAAATAGAGAAACTCTTTCTTCATTCATTTTCATGGAAGTTTGAATGTTTACAGTGTGGCCACCAAGTCAATGACAGGTGAGTTTTTGCACAAGATTTGTTTTCCCCCTCCTTCATTAGTACAGTGATGAAATGTTAATATTCATGGCAGTGTGGATTTTCTTTTCTTTGGTGAACTGAGTACATACAGGATTAATGAGGATGTTCAGTGTCTTCACTTAGCTTGCAGAGCATTTCAGAGCTTAGCATGAAGTTCTGTGTTCGTTGTAGGAGCTAGCTCCAAGAAATGCTGATATTTCAGTATTGTCTATCAGGATTTTATCATGTTGATGGGTTATAATTGCACGCAGTCTAAAGTAAGATGCTGCATGATAAAACGCTACAAAATATAAGAATCTCTAAAACTGTAAGGTCACTGAACATAAAATAAGCTTTTGGCCACACCCCATTCTGCATGATTTTATTCCTTGGCTTCCCTCAAGCCTTGGAACTTAAGATCTCCTCTCTTGAACCCTCTGTCGATAGCCATTTGTCAGTCTAAAGAGCCAGCGCACCTAGACTGCAAGAGACTTCCACCAGCACATAAGAGGAAGGCAGTTTTTTGCCAAGTCCCTCCTCCACTGCAGACCTCCAGTTTTGCCTTTGTTCTCTTTCCCAGGGGTCCATGAACTGTGGCATGATTTAGGAGCACTGCAGAGGAAAGGGGGGGAAGCCAAAAGTGCCACTCCACTTGTGCTAGATAAGATTTACTCTGTGGATGTGTGTGTGAATGGGAGAAGCCAGCACACAGCCCTGGGTATCTTTTGATGCTTCTGTTTTCAGCTGGAGAAGCAAGCCTCGCATATTGAGTCAAGTTATCAGCTGTACAAGGAGTTTCAAGCATCAGAAAGTTACACATGTCATTCACCCCTGCAAGAGTTATGTCGGTTGGGGGGGGAGCTATTTACCTACAGGCTTTGGGTATTTTTGAAGCAGCTGCCCTCATGCTGTCCATTCTTTGCAAAGATCCCAAGATGGGTGGAAGTAGCTGAACCACCTTGCGAATCAGATTCCTAGCACAAAGGAGTTTTTTGTCCCTGCCTTTTTCCAGTGCTGCTGAGTCCTCATGGAATTCAGGTGCTTCAGTGAAGTGCTCCAATATACTATAATTCAAACAATTAGCATTTATACAACTTTTTCTTTTGCTGTCAAGTCACAGTCAATTCATGGCAACCCTGTAGGGTTTTCAAGGCAAAAGGCATTCGGAGGTGGTTTACCATTGCCCGACTCTGCATCACAACCCTGGTATTCCTTGGTGGTCTCCCTTCCAAATACTGACCGGGGCCAACCCTGCTTAGCTCCTAAGGTCTGACAAGATCGGGCTAGGCTGGGCTATCAAAGTGAGGGATACTCTGTATTTATTAAAATATTAGATATTTAGTATTTATTAAAACATTAATATTAAAGGTTTAAAAGCATCTTGTACAGGAATCTGACCAATTACCTAAGGAGGGGGAAAAGGCCTGTTGTTGTAATGAGGCATACGTTAGGCTAGAAATTATATAGCACTTCTGAAGTATCTCATGTACATTATCTCACTGTAATCTAGGGTTGCCAATTCTAGTTTGGGAAATTCTTGGAGATTTGGCAGTGGTGCCTGGGAGGATGGAGTTTAGGGAAGGAGCTCAGTGGCAATGTGATGTCACTTTCCAGAGCTGGTATTTCCTCCAGGGGACCTGAACTCTGTAGTCTGGCTATCAGTTGTAATTCTGGGAGAATGCTGGGTTTGTGGTTGGTAACCCTACTGTAATCTTCTGTAACATAATCTGTTTTTCCTGTCCAGAGCAACTGCAGTGAATATAGGTGGTGAGTGGAAGAACACTGCTGCATTTTGTGACAATTCCTAAAAGGGATAAAGCCAAGAATGATAGATTATAGGCAGCCTCAGAAGGAATTTGCAATTGATTTTGGTCTATCAAATCACACCAGATAGCAGATCAAGTCTGCATTTGAACTGTTCAATGTGGTGGCTCTTCTGACCATCCCAAGTTAATGTTGATACTTTGCTTTACAAGAAATATTTCTACAGCTGTGGAGTAACTCTTTGTTTTCTTTATTTCAGGTGTCAGAAGACCTTAACAACGTTTACAAATATAATCCCAGAATGGCATCCGTTGAATGCTGTTCATGTTGCTCCTTGCAATAACTGTAATCACAGAACTCAGAGAAGAAAAATGGTTCTGGAAAAGTAAGTGTGACTCCTGTTTAAATTCTGAAATGAGCAAAACTGTATCAAGGATTGGCAATTAATCAGCAGTTACCATTACAGGTTATAACTGGTGGTTTGGGCTTCTTTTCCAGTTCACTCAATCACTCTCTCTCTCTCTCTCACACACACACACACACACTCTGTCTGTCCCCACACCATGTGTGCCAAGTGCTGTCTGGGGAGAGAGAATGATTTCTTTTGGGGAGGTGCTGTTTGCTGCAGAGGGAGGAGAAAGTGGAAAGCTTTTGGTTCATGACCAGAGCACCACTCATGGCTGGTTCGGTAGAATTCTTGTGTAAAGGCAATTATGCACTTCAAAAAACTCCTAGAAGTCCCCGTACTCTTGAGGATATGGGATACAGTGGCCCAGACCAAACCTCTTCTGTTACACAATAGCCTCCCAGAAGGACTTAGGCAGGCAGCTACTCTTGGAACCTTCTGGTGAGCCAGCAAGAGCCAGCACAGTGTAGTGGCTAGGGTGTTGGTCTAGGATCTAGAGTGTTCCATTTTCATATCCTCATTCAGCTATGGAAGCTGGCTGGATAACCTTGGGTCAGTCACATTTCTCAGCCCAGCCTACCTCACAGGGTTGTTGGGAGGTTACAGTGAAAGACAGGAGAATGACATAAGCCTGTTTAGGTCCCCATTGAAGAGAGGTGGGGTATAAATGAAGTAAAATTTTTAAATGATTTAAAAGTTCCTGTGAGGCATCTTGAATCGGCCTTGGCTTCACTGCTTTAACTGTTTTCCTTTTTTAATTACCTGTTTTAATTGTGTGTCACTTCATTTAATACTTCGTCATCTTCCCTGGGTCCTGATTGTCTCTGGGGTCATGCAGGATATGCAAGTATCCTTAATAAGCTAAACCCATCCAAGCTAAACCCTGTACCTGAGTCGCGGGGGACGGAGTCAGGGAATGAGGCTCCCAGCCTTTGATGGGGCTCCATGGGTGCCAGCGTCAAGGATGAAGAGACTGGGGGGTGTTCCTGGATGCCTCCCTTTCTATGGAGGCCCAGGTCACCGCCACTGCCAGGTCTGCCTTTTTTCATCTGAGCCAGATCAGGCAGCTGGCCCCATATCTCACCCCCCGGGACCTAGCTACAGTGACCCACGCTATGGTCACTTCCAGACTGGATTATTATAACTGTCTCTATGTGGGGCTGCCCTTGACCTTGCACCAGAAGTTGATGTTAGTGTAGAACGTGGCAGCACGAGTGTTGACAGCAACACCTGTGTGGGCTCATATCCACCCAGTGCTGTGCAGACTGCACAGGCTGCCTGTCACATTCTGGATCTGTTTCAGGGTGCTGGTGCTTACCTTTAAAGCCCTATATAGCCAGGGGCCAGCATACCTTCGAGACCACCTCTCCCCATATGAGCTCTGGAGGACACTGAGGTCCACAAATCAACATCTTCTAGATCTCCCCGGCCCCAGTGACATCCAACTAGCTTCGACTGGGGGCAGAGCTTTTTTGGCCCTGGCCCCCACCGGGTGGAATGAGCTCCCATATGAGATCAGGGCCCTGTGGGATCTATTACAGTCCCGCAGGGCCTGTAAAACAGAGCTCTTCTACCGGGCCTTTGGTTGAGGTGGCGGATGTCCTTCTTCCCTCCTAGCTATCTCCCCTCCTGCGGCCTGGATCCCAATATCGGGGTACTGCTGAATTCTAAATTATCTGATTGGCATCGGAACTAACTTGTTTGCATGGTATTTTACGGTTTTATTGTTTTAAATTGTCTTTTAATGGTTGTTTTAATGGTATTATATTAAGGTCGTTGTAAACCACCCTGAGCCCACCTGCGAGGAGGGCGGTATATAAAATAAATAAATAAAATACCTAAAAGGCAAGCATTTCCCGTCACAAAGGTGTCTCTTTCACACAAAAAAACCCTCCAGTGTCAACATATACTATCGGACTATCAAATCGCAGACTCTCTCCAGCAATGTTGTATTATTGGTGTAAAACTTTCCGAGATTTTTGTAAAGCATTTGTGAGCAGTGATACACAAAGCTGTTAATCTACGTTCATAATATGAATTATTTAATTCTAAAACTGCTGTCTGTTCTGTCTTTCGTGGCAGGATCCCCTCAGTACTTATGATGCACTTTGTCGAAGGCTTGCCTCATAATGACCTGATGACCTATTCATTTCAGTTTGAAGAGGATTCATATCGGATAACAGCTGTGCTTCAGTATCTGCAGAAGTCAAAGCACTTTGTGGCGTGGATCTTTAACTCAGATGGTAATTCAGTGCATTTTGTTCAAACCTTTGCCCTTTTTATACACATACTAATACTGGCCACCAGCTCCCAGACTTTCCCATAGTAAGAGAATGAGAACCCGTAGGACTTGCTAATATTATTGTATTATGGGCAACTGAGAACCCACACACCCTTCTCTTTTAGTGTACATAATGATTTACTCTAGTTCTGCAATGCTTATGTTCATTTCCTTTCCCCTCCTGTCCCAAAGGGGTCAGGGAGCCTCCCACAACAATGGCATCAAAGGGGCTGGCCGTTGTAGGTTCCGGCTCTGAGGTGGGTGTTCTGTATCACCACATCCTTGCAACCCCATGGTGTGCCACTCTAGACAAGGGTTTTAATACATTCACTCTCAAAAAAGCAGGGCCTCTGTGTTGTTGTGTTTTTGGGAGTGCAGTCTCATGGAGCAACCTTAGCATAAACTTGTTTTCACATACAGAGCCAGAGCTGTTTTGAGGGTCGCAGTTGTTCTTTCAGGCTGCTGTCTGCCCAGCAGTGACTGTCCCTGTGACAGCAAAGCTTTCTCCTTAAGGCTACTTCCCTTGGAGGAAGTAAGCACCACTAGTTTATAAGAGAAAATGGGCTGAGCTTTTGACATCTGTTGTTGCATAGAATTAAATTCTGTGGTGGCTGAATAAATGCTTACAGTAGATTTGTATTTCATTATTTCTAAAATGCTCTTCCCTGCCTTCCTCCTGCCAAGCAGGTTTGCTTTTTAAGTCACACACTATGATACAATGTAATAGAGTCAACAGTTTTAACAATCTCTCTGGTATACCACATTTCAGGCAGGGCAGGTCTCACAAAGTCCTTTTTGCAGGCCAGGATTCTTATATAGTTGAGGGAGAACATTACATTTGACAAGCCTTTATTGGCATAGGTATACACATACAAGTTGAGGGAGAACATTCCCACCAAGAGCTGAGTTCTTCTTTCCCCCCCCCCCCCCAAAGTATGTCTCAGGTGGTGTGGGTGGACAGGCTAGGAAAGAAGAATTTTTGACTCATAATCCTTGTGAATATGCTTGCGAGGCTAGCTTCCACAATACTTTCCCACACTAGGAAGTGTTGAAAGTTTACGGCCTTTGTAATTAAAAGATGGGGAATTTTGTATCCTGCGTTTCCAAACTCTTTCTCTTATTTTTCTTCAGGAACATGGCTTGAGTGTGATGACTTAAAGGGTTCTTACTGCAGTAAACATGAAAGATTTGGAGTGCCTCCCTCTGAAGTTCACATTGTCATCTGGGAAAGAAAGCCACCACAAGTGACAAAGGAACTGAATTTGCAGTTGCAAAAAGGTGGAGCTAGGGAAGTTCCCCTTCAGAAAGCAGAGACAAACTCTCCAGGGAAACAACTAGATGAGGAGGCTACAGATGATACTCCTTTACTTTGCCCTAAAGAGGACCTCTCAAATGCTCATTTCAGTGACACACAAAATGTAGTTGGCAATGACAAAAGTAATCTGCTTTGGGGGTTTGAAAACCTGAAAGATGATGATGAGATAACATTGACTCTTGTAAACATTACACTTGACTCCAACGGTAAATCACTGGAAGACACCAGTGTAACAGAGAGCTGCCCAGTAGCTGAAATGTTGCAGCAGCAGGATCCAGGTAGGGTTTCAGTGTCTCCGTTGTCAGAAAATCCCCGTGCTTCCTTGCATGGAGGACGACCAAACAATGCAAGTACATTTGTTATGCCAGCACTTTCTCCAAGCAATTACTCACCAAAAACCTTACCAGTACAAACAACATTAGCTCAGAATAACGCAAATCCTGTTCAAGCGAGCAGTGGCTCGGGCCGAGAAAAGCTACGGAGCAATATCAGCAGAACAACATCACTGACTAGTGCACAGGAAACACCTAATGCTCTGCAGCATACAAGAGTAGTGACAGCCAATTCCCAGATTGCTGCTCCAAAGCGTTCCTCATGGTTACCCAGTCAGAAAAAAACAAAACCATTTATAACAAGTTGGGTGAAGGGTCTCCATGAACAAAATCCTTTTATGCCTAAAAGTTTCTTAACTAATAATAGAACAGAGAGTTCTCAAAAGCCTCTGCAGAAAGAAATTATAGCAAACCCACTAATTAAGGGGCCATCCCACTTTGGTGGCTTCTTACCTAAGCATTCGGAAAGAAAGCTTAAGAAGTTAGAAAAGAGAGCATTTCCTTCATTACCCTCTGCCAGTTCCCTTGTTGCAAGCCACCCTATAGAGAAACAAACCTTTCGAGGTGAAGGAACTGTAAGCAAGATCCCAGTTACTTCTATGTTGGATAAACAGGTTCAGCCCAAACAAAATCACAGTGGGAATAAAAACTTGACAGCAGCGGAGAATGGTGAGAAGTCAAACTCTTACACAGCACGTCAGTTGCGTATCCAGTTTCGTAAACTGTGTAAAAATAAGAAGCTTGCTTTGCTGGAGAAGCCGGTAAACACCCAGGTGCGAAACAAAAGTTCTCCCAAGAAAAGCATGAAGGAGCAGTCACAGCTTGGATCCCAGGAGGAAAACTATTCTCTGCAGAACTTGTTAAGGGAGCTGCAGCACCACATTGAGGCTGAAGATGGCAAATCTGTGATATCTCCGGACACCACTACGTCCCAGTGCAGCAGCGATGATATTATATCTGAGCTGCTTTCTCCTGCTACCACTCTTGCTTCTCCAGAGCTTCCAGCAGAAGAAGAATGTAAATATCTAGAAATGGGTGTTTGCACGATAGAATCTCCAGTATCTAGCGAGAAAGCTGAGTGTGCAGAGTACTTAAACCACAATTACTACATTCCTGAAAAGGAAGGTTTACGTGGGGGTCCTCCAGATATCCTGGTAAACGAATCACCCATGAATAAATTTTACTTCGAGAGTCCAACAAAACATGATATTCTCAAAGAGTTCCCCAGTTCAGAGCTGAATTCAATAATAGATAGTGATGAAGTTATACATCATTTTGATGAAAGTCTGTTAATTTAGTGAATTGTGTTTTAACAATTTCAGATTTTCCCATTAATTGGCTTTGAAGCAAAGCATCATTAATTTGCCTATGGTTCTACTTGAATATTTAAACTCTGAAAGCTTGTGAGATGTTTTATTCTTAATAAAGTGGAGTTTTTTAATCCTTCTAAACGTGTTATTCGGAACATTTAACTACACTTTTGTGACCTCTATTTGGTAAACTATGAAGATCTTAGACCAGTTCTAGATTTGTGCTAAATTCTCATTTCATTCTCTAATTATAGGGAAAAGTGGTATTCCAAGATGTTTTATGGGCCTAGTGTGGAGGAAGGTGGGCCATGTTCATTTAAATAAATATAATGATCAATAAAAAGGCACGAGGGCTGAATGGCATTTAGCACGTGCTTTCCAAAGAACAGTTTACTGGGAGCAACCCCATTGACTAAACCTTCTTAGGATTGCTCTTTAAAGAACTTAAATCTTCAGCAGCTGAGCTCTCAAAATAGCTATCCAGAAAAAACACCATGTTTTCACAAAATCAGCAGGTGTTTAATGTAACACTTAAAATATATATATATATATTAAAATACTGTGGGGGAGAGGAGTAACCTGGCAGCCTGATTTCTCTCAATAAATGGCTGGAAAGCATAATTAAGGGTAGAACTACTGAATATAAATGAATATGTTGAAGAACAGGCTTCCTAAGGAAAAATCGATTGGAATGTAATTGCAACAAAATCGGTGTTCATATATTCATGCATAATGAGATACACATTTTATTTTTACACTGGAAGTTCTGCAAAGGAAATGCGCCTTAGGTGAAAAGGCATTGAGGAATAACTTGGTAGAGGGTAAAGGGAAAGTGTGGCTACTGAATGAAGTCTACCCTCTCCCATTCTCTCAAAACAAGAGAATTTGGGGTCATCTGATTAAATGTATTGGCTGACGAGCAGACCAGTATATTTGATGCCATTTATAATGAATTGTTATGCCATATATGATTGCCACAAGTGACACCTCTTTTTAAAAGTGTTATACTATTAGAAAAAGGTATCTGTATGGCTGCTCATCATGTCAGTTAAAAAGGGAACATCCGTATTCAAAGGTAGTATA